AACACGGAACCAGACAGACATGACATGTATTTTCATATGCAGCTTATAATGAGGGTCTGAAGAGTGGTTGTTAGGGTTTATGACAGTAAAGGTGTCAGAGCTTTCATGAAAGACTCATATAACACATACTGTGGGTTTGTTTGAGGTAGAGAAAAAAGCAAACAGACAGACAACAGGCACAGGACTTGGATAGAAAGAGAGAAGGAGACCGAGAGGTGCACTGCGTTATCATTGTCTCAAGTTTGGTAACTAAAAGTTACTGAGTCTTACTTATTTACAAGTCACTTGGACAAACACACACACCTGGTCCATGGTTTGTGATGTTGGGACTTTTAACTCCAAACTTTCCATCATTCTCAGGGACTAATGTCAGAATTAGTTGGAGACAAATGTGATTTAAATCTCCAAATTGTTCTTGAACATCTAAATGCTACTACATTTTACTAATTAGATAAATAGTAAGACTGTATATAAGACAGAAATAAACAATAAAAATACTTTGTGAAAGTTAGATAAAATTTTAGCAAAAAGGCTGTAAATTAGCAGCTAAAAGCTAAAACAAGGATAACCTAGGAATGTGTCTTATCTCTCGCTAGGTATAAGGTATAACATTAAATACATTCAATTTACTTCAAAAGACCTAGTTAGCCAAACTAGTACTACAGACAAATATACTAAGAGTTAGCCAGAAATGGTAAAAATGTAACTAAAATCCTGCAATATCAAGTTAGGGTTTGCTTGAAACATAAAAAACTAAAAAAAAAGTAAATAAATAAATATAAAACCTCTACAAGATTTAAGATTTACAGACACCCATATTTACACACCAGACACACACACACAGGCCCATGTACACAATTACATGGACATGGACAACCACAGTAACCCTAAAAGAGTGTTCTACCATTCTTTCCAAGTTGACTGTATGCAATTTTATTTGTAAAAAATATCTGTAGCTGTCCACCTTTCTTTCAGTCTATGGATGTGACTATTGATAATTAAAAATCTTTAATCAATCACTTAATGCATCTATTTTTCTTCTTTTCATCCATTTAAAGATTATTTTAGTGACCTAAGTTGTTTCATTTTCATTTGTCTGTTAAAGTCTGAATCCTTGACAAGTGAAATCCCTGCTGCTGCATCATAAACTCTGTGAGCTTTCACAGCTCAGTGCAATAAAAATGGGATGTAAAGATAACACCCACAGCCTGCTGCAGCCTCGCTGCTGATGTGTCTAATAATGTTGCATGCGTGGGAGACAGGGTTGACTATCAGCATTTGCCACAGCGAGTGTGGACGTAACAAGCAAAGCTCATTATTAGCCATGTAACCTTCTTTATTCTGGCTTTTCTCTCTCTTTATCCACAATACATACCATCAGTGATGGGAATAATGGCGTTACTTTTTTCAGTAACGGGTAATCTAACTAACTACTTTACTTTATTCTGTTCCTCAGCATATCGCCAACTTTACAGAAATATTTGTTATACAGCATGACTCTCTACAGTCTGTGTAATGTCTTTAATGTATGTTTCTGCTGATCGTACAATAAAGTGCAGAGAAAAGTCAGTAGGGGAGGCAGGCAATACTCTGCCTCACCTCAAGGGGGCGTCTGAAGGTCAAAATTAAATTTGTGCTGCACTCATCTCTATACTTTAATTTGATTTAAGTACAGTTTTGAAGTAAGTATGAATTGCTTAGATGAAGTATTACCAGGTGTGTGCTGTTGGATGCAGAGTGAAATAAGATGTTCTTTTCAGTTCTTACAATTGTAAATCTGACTCCAGAGGAGTCAGTGCCTCACCAACCATGAACCTCACCGCACGTCTGTTCAGGTCTTTGCTGTTCTACTCTATCCACCTGGCTTGTGAAACCCACTCTGACAAAAAAAAATCCAAATTCTTTGACATTTTTAAACTTAAAAAAAAGTAACGCAGTAGTTACTTTCCCTGGTAACTAGTTACTTTTATAGTGGAGTAACTCAATTACTAACTCGTTACTAATGTTACTTTTTGGGAGAAATAATTAGTAACTATAACTAATTACGTTTTCAAAGTAACGTGCCCAACACTGCATACCATCAGCTTATTATGTTTTGTTTTCCATATCTAACATTTATATTGAAATTCACAAAAGGAAGGAACCTTGTTATTTTCTTGGCATTTCCTCCCCAAAGAGATTATTCTGATCTGCTTCACTGGAACACACTAGTAAAATGCATATCGAATTGGAAGCAGTGTGTATTGTTATGCTTATTATTTTTATTGGTTGTTCTGGGAATCATGTTAATCTTTCTACTCCGTATGCTAATGGATTTACCCGACATGATTGTCCAATGAAATGGTAGGAATCAAAATGACCACAGCCTGATATCTCATGATACAAATCTTTGGATACAGGGTCAGAAAATAGGCTCCAAACGTTCTGCTCCAGTTTCTCCAGTGAAAAACAGAAATAGCTGAAACATTCACAGTCAATCAGTGCTGGGAGATTTAAATTCAATTTTAATTTGCCAAAAAGATGAAACACTAAGTGTCACAACAAATTTAACATCCATCCGTGTATCCATCATCCTCCACTTATCCAGGGGTCGCAGAGGTAACAGTCGGAGCAGGGATGCCCAGACTTCCTGGGTCTTTCTCAGGGCGTCCGGGGGGCATACGATGTAAATGCATTACTGCTGCCGCTGCACTGATCCGTTTGTCAATCTCACGTTCCATCCTTCCTTCGTTCGTGAATACGGCCCCAAGATACTTAAACTCCTCCACCTGCGGCAGGATCTCTCCCCCAACTTGAAGGGTGCAAGCCACCTTTTTCCGGTTGAGGACCAAGGCCTTGGACTTAGAGGTGCTGATTCTCATCCCAGCTGCTTCACACTCTGCAAACTGCCTCAGTGCATGCTGCAGGTCCTGGCTCGAAGAAGCCAACAAGACAACATCATCTGCAAAAACCAGAGATGAAATCCAATGGCTCCCGAACTGGACCCCACCCAGTCCTTGACTGCGCCTAGAAATTCTGTCCATAAAGATTATGAACAAAACCGTTGACAAAGGGCAGCCCTGACATAGTCCAACATGCACCGACTTACACCGACTTACTGCCGGCAATGCAGTAAGAGACAGTAAGAGACTTTTCCTCCCGAAGCGGACTTTCGGAACCAAGAGGACTCTCTGCACACAGTGGAACCAGACGGACGTCCCCAACTCTGGCAAGGACCCAAGGAGTGCGGCCTTTCCACTACCCTCTAAATACGAGCAGACGTTCACTACGGTAAGTCTGGCATTTGGGCATGTTAGTTAA